TCTCCTCTTTGAAATGCTTTCTCCTCTTGACTCCCAGCACCCACATACTCTTTTGGGTTTCCTTCTACATCAGTCCTTCTCAGTCTCTTTTGCTGGTTCCTCCTCTTCTTCTCAGCCTTTTGTCAGTCTTTGAATGCCCTAAGCTCACTCCCTAGACCTCTTTCCTACCTATATTCACGACAACCTACCCTCAAGATAATCTCAACCTGTCCCATAGCTTTAACTACACTGTGTTCAGTCAGTTCAGTCATGTCCAACTCCGTGACCTTATGGACTGTAGCCTGCTAGGCTCCTCTGTCCATGGGATTTTCCCAGCAAGAATACTGGAATCGGTTGCCATGCCCTCCTCCAAGGGATCTTCTCCTGTGTCTCTCTGCATTGCAGGTGGACTCTTATACCAATGAGCCACTGGGAAAGCCCTTAAATACATTAAATACATTAAATACATTAATGACTCTCAAATTCACATCTCCAGTCCTAAACTCTAGATATATAACCAATACTCCACTTGGATATCTAACAAGTCTCTCTCATTTATCTGGAACTCAAATCTTGATTCTTATCTCATCCCAGCCCATGTTCCCATCTCAGTAAATAGCATGACCATATACACAATTGCCCAGGTCAAGATTTCCTATCTCCAATAGATACCCAGAATCTCACAAGCTCCAATGCCACCACCGTGATCCAGGCTTCCACTCTTACTTCCTTGCTTTTGATTTTCCTTCCTTTTAAAATATAAATCAGATCATATCACCAACACTCTAGTGGTTGTCCTTTACCCTTAGAACAAAAATCAAAGCTCTGGTCATGACTTTCAGGAGCCTGTTTAATTTGGTCCCCAGCTATTTCCCTAATCTCACAGTGCACATTCTTCTCTGATGATACTGGCTTATTGCTATCCCTGAAATACATCAAACATGCTCCCACCACAGTAACTTTGTACTTGCTAATTCTTCTACCATTGTCTTTTTTTAATTGAATTTAATTGCTTTACAATACTTTTTTAGTTTCTGCTGTACAATGAAGTGAATCAGCTACTGGTATACATATATCTCCTCCCTCTTGGGACTTCCCTCCTGCCCCACCCCATCGCACCTTCTACTTTTAAAGCTCAAGTTTTCAACAAAACTTCCTCCCTATGTTCACTGAGGTTTCTCTTTGCTTAAATGTCACTTCCAAAAAAAAAAAAAAAACCCAAAAAACAAACAAAAAAAAAATCCTTGACCTCCCTAGTTAAAAGTGCACTTGATAATCACACTCCATCCTTTCATTCCAACACAACAAATCACAATCCATCTAAAGATGAAATGTTCTGTTCCATTATACATTTCAGCACAACACTGAGTTAAAAAAAAAAAGATACTAAATGTTTTGTAGAAGGATTATCTGAACAAACAGTGGAGAGGGAGAAGTGAAGAGAGGGCTCACCGGACCACCTGGGACTCTCCAAAGTCCTAAAAAGTGACATGGAATTTCTGAAAACAAAGTGAAAACATCAACTTACCTGGGACATGGCTTTACACAGTCCAACAGCCATTCTTCCTTCCTTCTTCAATTTTCTCTTTTGGAGAAAAAAGTCCTGAAAAGGGGGAGTTATAAGAACAGCAACAACAACAAAAATGGAACAGCAGCCCTATGCTGCTGATCTGAGACTCACAGAGAGGTTTTCTGCCCCTTTATGGTCCCTAGTTTCCTTATATGAACCAGTCTGTGCATCACATTGGAGGGAACTCCCTATTTTACCTAAAAAGAATCTCCTTCCCAGTTACTATTTTTCCTTATCTGGATTTCTTTTTCTTCTTAGCATTTAACATTACTGAACATGTTACTTTCTTTTTCTTCTGTTGTTTTCCCAAATAATAGTACAAGATTTAAGACAGCCAGGATTTATTGGGTTCACTGTGTATCTCTGTGCTGTGCTTAACTGCTCAGTTGCTTAGTTGCTCATTTCTTTGTGACCCCATGGACTGTAGCCTGCCAGGCACCTCTGTCCATGGGGATTCTCCAGGCAAGAATGCTGGAGTGGGTTGCCATGCCCTCCTCCAGGGGATCTTCCCAACCCAGGGATGGAACCCAGGTCTCCCGCATTGCAGGCAGATTCTTTACTGTCTGAGCCACCAGGGAAGCCCCTGCGTATCTCCAGGGCTAGAATAATGCCAGAACCACTGCGAGTGCTCAAAACAGATTTGATCAACAAATAAATAAACCTCAGTGTGGCTCCCATAATATAAATAGCAATGTTATACATACTGTATATGTCATTATCTTATTTAATCTTCACAAAACTGCAAAGGTAGGTATTATTATCCCCATTTTACCATCAAGTGAATCTGAGGTTCAAAAAGCTTAGACAGCTTACTCAAATTCCTAAGAGTCAAGCTGCAGTGTGACTCAAAAACTTGTCCCCCAGACTTCCCTGACGGTCAAGTCGCTAAGACTCTGACTTCCAATGTAGGGGGGCCTGGGTTCGATCTCTGTCAGGGAACTAGATCCCACATGCCACAACTACAACTTGGCCCAGCCAAATAAATAAACAAAATAAATATTAAGACTCTGAGAGTCCAATGGATTGCAAGGAAATCAACCCTGAATACTCATTGAAAGGACTGATGCCAAAGCTGACGCTCCAAGACTTTGGCCACCTGATGTGAACAGCTGACTCACTGGAAAAGACACTGAGGCTAGGAAAGATTGAGAGCAGAAGGAGAAACGGGTGACAGAGGATGAGGTGGTGGGATGGCATCACTGAATCAATAGACATGAGTCTGAGCAAACTTCAGGAGTTAGTCAAGGACACAGGGAAGCCTGGTGTGCTGCAGCTCATGGGGTCGCAAGTAGTCAGACACTACTTAGTGACTGTACAACAGCAACAATAAATATTTAAAAAAAAAAACAAAACTGATTCTCTTTCAAGAGACCAGAGTGTTTGCATGGGAAATAATCAACATAACCTGAAAAATCAGTGCTATATGTTTTTTAGAGAAGCATATTTGGAGGTAGAAGATGTTACCTTAATTTCTCCACAGAAATTCAGCCTAAGGTAAACATGCCAAATTTCAACACCAAGCCAATAAGAAACTGCACAGCCTGAAACAAGTTCCTTGTCTTCTCAGAGCCAACATTTCTTCACTCTGGAAACAAAGACAGTTGTGTTTGACTTAGAATTTAAGATATACGACCCCCTAATTCTGGGCTACTCTGCACTAGTCAACTCAACCTCCAAGAAAATTATTTACTTCCTTAGTGCAATGCAGCCTGAAATTGTCCACAAAAGCCTTTGCAACCTGAGAAGAAAATCTACAAAGTCTTTTCAGAATTGGGGAGCTCCAAGTAGCATCTGCATAAAAGAAACATCTTTTAAATTTCTGTTTCAAATAGCTGTGCATCATGAGTATTTTTCAGGTTTGAAAGAACCATCAGTCTCTGAAAGAAGGTGATGGAAAAGATTTGGGCTTTATATAGTCCCCAGGCACACAATGACTCTCTAGTCCTTTCCTCCCTGGCTAGGTGACCTTGGGCAAATCAATCCAACGGCCAGAACCTTTCCTCATTGTTAAAATGCCTGAGCCAACTCCTGGCACAGAGAAGTGCCACCCTTGTTGCCATTTAGATTTTACACACACATCTGAAAAGGAAATGAGAACATCTTTCTTTATTAAAAAGTCAGAACCAAAAACTTCGTTCACTTAGTATGTGAGAAAAAAAGCCATGGATTAGCCTCTCTCAGCACTAAACATGGAAGAGTTTTGACACAGACAAACCTAAAATCTCAAAATTGATGGCCTAAGGACAGGAAGGCTGGGCTTTTCTCCCCCAAAGGCAGCCAATGTGAGGATGGTCTCACTACAATGTCTTTAGACCGGGTTCTGTGACTCACAAGGATACAGAAGGAAGAGATCCAAATTAAGTTCCATGTCCAGAAGGTCCTGGGCCAAGACCACAGACAATCCTCTCCAACACCCTCAGAGCCCAGGGGCCCCATTTTTCACCCTCACAATGTGGAAAAGATCAAGAGAGTTGAAAAATTAAAAGCAAAGACTCTGGAGCTAAACAGCCTGGGCTAAAGTCCCAGTTCTGTCACTTAGTAACTGTGTGAAGGTGGGTGAGCAATTTTAATCTTTCTGTGTCTCACAATCACATACTAGGTCTGACCTACACATACAAATTCTCTCCCAATCATACTCATACAAACATGGCCACACAATCGCAAACATAATGTCACATACACACACAGTGGCATTAACACAAAGAGAGATGATACACAACAACTACTCCAACAGAGAGACAGTCACACACAATCTCATAGACAGTGACATACTACACAAGGTCACACATCCTGCCACAATTACTCATACAAAATTATGCCTGCGCAGACTGAGGATCATGGGTACATAACCACACCTTCAAACGCCGTTACATCCACAGGGACAAGTGGTCAAACAGTCACACACACACATCCACACAGCGACACACACACACACACAATGTCACACCTGCAGTCTCTCACAAACCCATACACAAATAACACAATTACACCTGCAGAGACAGTCACACAGAAACACAGACTCCGTTTTATGCCAGAGACAGATGGTCACAGTCGCGTTCAACCATACAGTGTGACACAGAAGTTCACACTGTCACACACACACAGTCACACAGCCATACACGGTGACACACAGTCTCCCCAGAGGTGCCTGCCTGGTACCCATCCCAATCCCTGCCGGTCCACCCCAAGCCCGGCCCAGATCTCTGGCTCTCGCGCCAGCCAGGCCCAACTCACCTCCCGGCGTCCCTGGCTCTGGAAACCCGCCCAGAGACCCGAGACCCGCGACGTCGCCTCCCAGAATCCCCCGCGGGGCGGAGCGGGACGCGGACTGATGCTCACGGGACCCCGGGATCGGCTGGGGAAACATCTAGTTGCAAGGAACTAGACTAGCGACTCAGCTTGTCATTTCGACCCTGAGGACCACAAGTCCCAGACGCTTTGCGCCTCGACCTCCTTGCTGAATGAACTACATTTCCCAGAGGGCCCCGAGGCACGCCCCGACATCATGGCTGCACTACAAGAGGCCACGGCCACAGGTCCGAGTACCCACAGAACTGTGTGATAACCTGGGATACCGTGAATGGGCATTTAAGTGGCCCTGGGCGACTGTGTGTGAGGGAATGCTGAAGCTGCGCGCGTCCGTGACTTACTGAGTGCTCAGGTGTGCGATTTGTGTGTGGCTGTCGCTGCACACTTTTGTGCTTGCGCACCACGGGGGGACGTGTTCTGTCAGTGTAGTGAGCTTGTGTATTCTAAATCATGCCCCGTGATTGTGGGTCATTGTGTGACAGATTGTGGATCTGTCACACCAAGAATGGGAGAGTGATTGTGGATGTGGGAATGGGATGTGGATGTGACTGTGGCTGATTTGGGGCATGACGTTTCTGTAACTGTGTTCTTAGCCCAGAGATCCGCAGAGGTTTTCCCATAATTGGCGGTGGAGCTTTGTTTCTGGGCTTGTCTTTAGAGTTGAGTCCGTGGGAGAGGAGTCTGTGTGTGCCCTGTGTGTGTGTGTGTGTGTCTGGCTCCAGGTCCAGTTGTTCTCTCATCCCTGCCCAACCTCTCACCCCGGCCAGGGCAGGGTTGGTGTTACCCTTATTTCTATACCGTGTGTGTGTGTCTGTGTGTCCGCACCCCTTCAGTTACTCAGCCGTGTCAGACTCTTTGCGACCACATGGACTGACTGCCCCACCAGTCTCCTCTGTCCATGGCATTTTCCAGGCAAGAATACTGGATTGGGTTGCCATTTCCTACCCCAGAGGATCTTCCCAAGCCAGGAATGGAAGCTGCAACCCTGGCGTCTTCTGCGTTGGCAGGCAACTTCTTTACCACTGTGCCACCTGGGAAGCCCATATCCCTTCTCTACTTGCTGCTAATGTGATCACAGCCACAGAGAGTAATTATATTCCAGTTGTAGGAAGATGCTTGCTTGTATCAAAGCCATTTATATTGTTGTAGCCAGGAACTCTGGGGTTTCTTTTATTGCTGTTCCTAAGTTTTCACTTTACGACTTTAATCTGTTGTTCTTGTGTTATTCAGTCACTAAGCCGTGTCCAATTTTCTGTGACCCCATGAACTGCAGCATGCCAGCCTTCCCTGTCCTTCACTATCTCCCAGAATTTGTTCAAATTCATGTCATTAAGTCGGTGATGCTATCTAACCATCTCATCCTCTGCTGCCCTTTTCTCCTTTTGCCTTCAGTCTTTCCCAGCATCAGGGTCTTTTCTAATGAGTTGTCTCTTCGCATGACATGGCTAAAGTATTGGAGCTTCAGCTTCAGCATCAGTCCTTCCCATGAATATTCAGGGTTGATTTCCTTTAGGACTGACTGGTTTGATCTCCTTGCAGTCCAAGAGATTCTCAAGAGCCTTCCTCAGCACAACAATTTGAAAGCATTAATTCTTCGGCACTCAGACTTCTTTATGGTCCAACTCACATCCGAACATGACTACTGGAAAAACCACAGCTTTGATTATACAGACCTTTGTTGGCAAAGTGATGTCTCTGCTTTTTAATATGCTCTCTAGGTTTGTCAAAGCTCCAGTATCACCGCGGACAGCAACTGAAGCCATGAAATTAAAAGACTTTTGCTCTTTGGAAGGAAGGCTATGACAAACCTCAACAACTTTATTTAGGCCCCAGCTTTAAGAAAACTATCCACAGTCAAGAGGCCAAGAATGTGAACCTGTGAGTGATGTTAAAGAAAACAAGAACTGAGTGCTAGTTGAAGGACCTTGTTTTTTTGTTTTTAATTCAGGAACTATTGCCATAGGAGAAAGACTTCAGTATAGAACTGGCTCAATTTCAAATATAGCAAGAGAGGATTTATAGACAAGGAGCAAGTTAGGGTTGCGGGGTGGTCAGTTTATGGAAAATTACAAAGAGGAGACATAAAGGGGTGGGGGAATTCTTGTTAGGCTGACTAATAGAATTGTTGCTGAGGGAAGGTCAGAGTGATCACATACCACTGGGGTGGATGAGGAATTTAATTAAATACTGAGAGTGATCAGATATCAAGAATGTGAGCTAAACTGACTTGACAGAATTCTTGCTAAAACTGGGTGATGCGAAGACAAACACTGAAGCCCAAAGGTTGAAGCCTAGTTGAGAAGAGGGTTCTGAGGGGTCTGACTAAAATTAGGTCAAGGAGAGTCTTTGTCAGTGAAAGTTCAAAAAAAAAAATCTGGAAGGTGCACCCAAGTCAAGATCTCGGTGTATGTGGAAGTAAAGAGAAGTTCTTGAAATAAAAACACATCTCCGGAGATCCTCTCCAATCCCCTCCCCAGAAAGAGTCCTTTAATAGCTGAAGCCCCCAGTGAAAGAGTTCAAAGTGTTAGTCACTCAGTTGTGTTCAACTCTTTGTGATCCCATGGACTGTAGCCTATCAGGCTCCTCTGTCCATGGGATTCTCCAGGCAAGAATACTGGTTGGGTACTGGAGTGGGTTGCCATGCCCTTCTCCAGAGGATTTTCCTAACCCAGGGATCAAACCCGCGTCTCTTACTTCTCCTACACTGGCAGGCAGGTTCTTTACCACTAGCACCACCTGGGACGTCCCTCAAACATAATATGAATTAATAAATAAAAATAAAGACAGATAATTAATACAAAAGGAGAATAAAATAACTACATAGAAAATATAAAATTTTACAACAGTTTGTGTTAACCTTGGCATATTATTAAAATAGATATATACACACTCACACATTAAATACTTTAAGATACAAGCTTAATCACATTCAAAACTATACTTTATGAACTAAAATGGAAGAAATCACAAAATACATTGATTACAATACTATAAGATAAAAAGCTGAATACTAGGATATTGTAAAAATAAATATGTCCATCTAGCCACTTGTAAGCACTCTGAAATAGTAATTCTTATATAAAAGAAAATAAAAAATGAAAACCATATGCCACTTAGAAATGAACTTTCAGTTTTGCATATAGGGTTATCGTTACCATCTTTCTAAATTCCATATATATGTGTTAGTATACTGTAATGGTCTTTATCTTTCTGGCTTACTTCACTCTGTATAATGGGCTCCAGTTTCATCCATCTCATTAGAACTGANGATAGAGCAGCATACCTCAGATTGTAGGTTTACATCTGTCAATGGGTGTTAAGCATTTTTTTGCATTTGTTTCTTCTATGCCTATTTAAAATTACATAAAGCACAGATGTTAATAAAATGGTATTATAACACATAGCTTTTTTCTTGTGTGTGTGTGTACAGTATTTTCAGTATGGGTTATAGACCACAAATATCTAGAAACAACACACTTAAAGGTGAAAAATAAAGTGTTTGACTTTCACTTGGGTTTGAACATTTTCCATCATAAAAAAAAAAAGGGTGACATTGTTTTATGTGTTTGCAACTCTTTAATATTCAATTTAATAGAATATAGTTGGTATTTTATATGTGCTCCTGCATTTAATGTGTTGAAATAAATAAAATCTGGCCTCATGTAGATATAGTAAGAAAATGGAGTGTTTTAATACTCTTTTCAGGTAACTGTCAACATTATCCTTAGATACTTCATCAAAAATCATGGAATCCAGCTTTTATCTTAAAATCCATTTGTCAATCTTATACTTTAATATACCCACAGATGATTTTGCAGCATTATGTACTGTTTGCAAAATACTGGTTCAATGAATTAGGCAGATCTTCCATCATCATATTTCATTGTATGGTATTATAAAATCATGCTCATTAATATCATCACCAATCTTATCACAAAGGTCTAAGTACTGGGAAACTGTCAAGTTCATGGCGGCAGGTAACTTGTTCTTCAATATTCTAATCCTCTGTTTGAAAGTCAAATTAACAGAAATTGCCATCAGTTTTCTTCACTGGCAATTTTTTTAAAAAATCACTTCAGTTTTGACAAACTGTCTACCAAACATCCAAGTCTGAGTCACCTTATCCAAAACTTGTCAGCTGAGCTTTCAAATAAAACTGGTGTCCATAAAAAGGTAGCTGGTACAGCTCACAAAGTAAACAATCATACAAGTGCATCTCCTTGAAACAGCTTCATACTTCAGCATGAAGGACTTTACATGTATTTCTCTTTTCATCACACAAAATGTTTAAAAGATGTATACATACCAATTTTAATATCATGGCTGTGATATTATAGTATAATTTTGTAAGACATTACCATTTGAGTAAACTGAGTAAAGAATACATGAGGTTTCCCTATATAATTTCTTGCAACTGTGCATTAGTTATCTCAGAATTTAAATTATACTTTTAAAATGCTATACTCAAAGGTCAAGATTTAACAAACTTCTACTATTTTATGAAGAATATTCTTAAGTGAAACTTGCATTGTTGACCACAAATAGGAGGTGGTTAAAAAATACAATGATGCTAGTAGTACAGTTTGCTGCAGTCCATGGGGTCACAGTTTGACAGAACTGAGCGACTGAACAACAGTTTGGTGTCACTGCTATGATTCATGCTAAGAGCCCAGCAGTTTTACCCATGACTGCTGACTGATTTTTGCACCATCAGTGCAAATTTCAACAAAACAGAAAAAAGCAAGTAATGTCTTAGTGTTATAATGAAATTTGTTTTGACAATGCAGATCACTTGAAAGGGCCCAACCCAAAATCCTCTGATCACACTTAGGGAACCAATGATTCATAATAATAAGCCAAAATTGAATTAAACAATTCCATCAACATTTACTGCTACTCCTTTTAAAATGGAACATTTCCATGATGACTATAACAGACTTACAGATTTGAAGCAATATTCATTGTTTCATACTCTTTATCATCTTTTCTTCAAAATTTTCTGCAGTGTAGTCTACTACTTACCAGAAGGTTAGCAGGATGGGTAGTGGTTGCTCTGGGGCAATTTTTCTGTTTTAAACACCTAGAGCTATCACCTCAGGTTATGAAATATGAGGCAGTAGTGGATAGCTAGTCCAGACATGGACTGAAGAAAAAAACACATATGCAAAAACAAGACTGAGGATTCCCATATCTGAATACCATGTGGTGTTTTATCTCCTAATCAGTTTCCATATTTGCACAGATTTTAATGCTAGGCCCAGACAGACACCTCCGGTTACCTGTCTTGTCTCTTATGAGAGGTTCTAAGCAGAAGGCCTGATGGAGGTTTAAGAATCAGTGGTGGGCGTGGGGAGCACCAAAGTATAGGTCTTCTTTCTACCCCTTTCTCAGAACATTTCCAGGTCTTTCTGTTTGGTTGCTGCTCCATAAAAATGTTTCCCAAGGTATGTATCTATTTTGAATTTATTTAAGTCTTCATACACCAGCAGTGCTCTGTTTTTTCCTGTTGAGAGTTTTAAACAGTTTGTGGCAAAATCTTTTATTTTTATGAATCAATTACACTGCAAATGGAAGTGTTCCTTCTGAAAGTTAAAAAATAGTAAAAGGTATGTTTAATTTTGGAATCCTTATTTTGTGACATGACATGATTTTATAGAAAAGAGTAATTAGGTTCTAAGACCTAAAGAGATTAAAACTCAAAAGATATTTTTCTGTTGAGGAAATGTAAGAGCATGAAGCCAGGATTTACCATGAGGAGGGCTAAGAGGTGGAGGCCACATCAACTGCTCCATCAAAGATAGTATTTCATAATTTTTCACCAGGTTCTGCTCACTCAAACTTGAGATCTTGAACAAAAATTAAGACTTTTATACCTTGTATTATTTGAGACAGTGATTCCCTAACTCTAACTCCTTTGGATATCAAGGCTTTGGGACCACTGTTTATTTTTTCCATAAACTGAAAGTCTCTTGAGAGTCCCTTGGACAGCAAGGAGAACAAACTAGTCAATCCTAAAGGAAATCAACCCTGAATGTTCACTGGAAGGACTGATGCTGAAGATCCAATACTTTGGTCACCTGATGAAAAGAGCCGACTCAATGGAAAAGACTCTGATGCTAGGAAAGATTGAGGGCATGAGGAGAAGGGGACAACAGAGGATGAGATGGTTGGATGGCATCATCAACTCAATGGACGTAAGTTTGAACAAACTCTGGGAGGTAATGAAGGACAGAGAAGCTTGGCGTGCTGCAGTCCATGGGGTCACAAAGAGTTGGACACAACTGAATGACTGAACAACAAAGCTGAAAGCCAAGCACTGAGTATTGCACTTGAAATCCTGCTTCACCACTTTATCCATATACTTTGTTTTTCTATGGCCTTCAGATCTATTCCAAATACCTGTACACAAATAAAAATAATAAGTTATAATACAATTCCTGTATTTTCCTGCCTAGCCTTAGAAAACTTATTTTCTAAATATAATTCACAATCATTTAGTCAAGTTTCATGAAAAAAAAACTGGGCCTTGGGACAAGATTCTAAGTAAATTTGTGAGACACTGCCATTTCCAAAAAGAGACTATTCTCAACCAAAAATGTAGTATATTTTACAATGGTTGGAAAAACTTAAACCTAATAATTACTAATGGGATGTTATAACTCAAAAAAGAATAGAAAATAATTTCATTTTACATTTCTGTATATGTTTGCATATTTTCTTTATAATACTACATAATACATTTCTAGTCTAAATACACTCAGTCAACAAAAGTATCTACAGTATGGATTCAGCCTGGAAACCAGAGAGTCCCAGGAAGCAAGCAAAGATATGATATTTCAAAAATGGATAACTCTTCCCAAACTTAAGAGCTAGGATAGTTACAATCTTTCTTACCTGTTAGCCCTTTGTATAATAAAACCTTATACCCATGTATTATCTCTTATCCCCATGAGCTGACCATGTTCCAAACTTTCACTGAAGTGGACTCTGCTGGGTCATGCTCTGTGGAACCAGCATTAAATCAGCTATGGTTTCTGTCTCTTGTTCTCAGGTCAAACAGACATCAAGAGATGAGCTCTAAAACTGCTGTTACAACATCCAGGTTACTGTGGAAGGAGTGTTCAAGTATACTTGGGAAGTATATTGGATATTGGAATTCTATCAATTCTCTAATTTCAACCTACTTAAGTACTCTCTCCATCAAGTTACCTGAGAGACCTTCCAAAATCTACTATCCCCAGTAGAGAAAATCAGAGCCCCTGAAACAGGCCAGTAATTCTCCTTCAGGTGGAATGAAGATTCTGACCCTTACCATTAGTCTGGTGAACACTCCCATCACACATAGATGTCTCTGTTTTAGAGTCAGCCAATGG